TTTGCCGTAAAATTTAGTTTATTGTCAAGGATAGTACCAAGGTATTTAAAGGTTTGCACAATTTCAATAGTCTCTCCAGCTACAGAAACATTATCATTTTCCTTCTTTTCCCTACGAAAATCGATAATCATTTCTTTGTTGTTTTTTTTTACATTTAATAATAATACATACATACATACATGCATACATACATAAATACATGCATACATGCATACACTTGTCTTAGAGTCCGAAGTTAATGAAGAAAATCTTAATCGACCACCGGAGGACAATGGTTATGCCTGCCCTGGATGTGGCCAAATATGTAAGTCACAGCTGGGGCTGCGTAGTCATCGGAAATACTGCATTCCTCAAAGTTATAAAAGAGGACAAGCCCTTAAAAACTAGCACAATAATTGTCCGCCAGTGGTCGATTAAGATTTTTTTTTCGCGGTCTGCGTCTGTCCTCGGCAGCGAATTTTCTTTTGGTCTCAAATGTGTATCCCGCGGCTTTTGTAAGTGACCTCCAGCTGTCTCGTTCTGAAGTCGCATCCAACTATCTGCTCTCTTCTATGTCATCTAAAGCAAGATGGCGCCTAATCTGGTCTTTAAAGCGTTTCAGTGGGGCGTCTCTGTTACGTCGACCACCTTTTAGCTCACCCAAAAAAAAAAAAAAAGACTGCTTTTGGCATACGTTCGTCCTCCTTACGGGATACGTGCCCTGCCTAGCGTCGGACCATAAAAAGTCCTTCTATACTGTCCATACCGGCGTTCGCAAGAACATCGCTGTTTGTAGTGCGCTCTTGGCATCGTATGTCCATGATGGAGCGCAGGCGACTAAGGCTACTGAATCGCTTTCCTTGTGTATAATACAAGAATGACACCATAAAACTTGTATATAAGCCTACTTTTAAAATGTCTTTGTCTATAGGTTAAGACATTTATATTAGTACAGTATCAGCCATATCGAAACTTACGTTTATTCTCGTAGATCTGACCACTCTAAGTTGTAGGTATTATTGCTGCCATGTCACAAAATATCCTCTAAAACGAAAACGTTTACAATATTAGTAAACTAGTTAATGCTGTTGTAATCGATTACTTTGGTGGTTCACGAGTTATCATTTCACCTATGTGCTGACGCGACAATTACCTCAGCTTTATTCCTGGAATCGATTCCACTATGGCGCGAAAGCTAAAAATAGACTTGTATTATTTTATTTTAGCCATGTTATGTAAGCAAAGGGAAGTCACTCAGTGCATACTGGCACGTTGTCGTCTCCTGCACTGAATATAGGACGCTGAAATAGCAACGCTTTAGGAGAAATGATTTAGAATTTTAAAAAAGTTTCTCAGTATTATAGTTCAAAAGCGAAACAAATCTAAATTACAGCAACGCATCCATTTATAGCACCGAGCCATTGGTAAACGCATATTATAAATATGTAGCCTACCCTTGTCGTCTAGATTAGTGCTAGCTGAAAGATCTACCAGAAAATACATCCCCAAAGAAAGTTATAAATGAGAACAAACCCTTAAAAATGAGGATGAAAAGAACGAGACAAATAAGGCTTAACACTTTAGAAACATGTCAGTAAATCGAAGTTTGTAAAAGCTCTATATAACATGGTAGGAACGACATCGCCCACACATCAGTTCGCCTCTTCTCAGTGTGACCAAGTAACGGAAATATCCGATACAGTTTTGTATCAGTAGTGCCACAGATTCTGCCAGGTGGTAGCAATCTTATAATCTGTCAAAGGTTGGTATACTAATGCAGACCAGCCAAATCATTATAAAATTTCTCAGTAGACAATGAATTTTGTTTCCCTTTTACTAATCTCGATGTTATATTAGAAGCACCATAAAATTTAAAACAAGGTTTAGACAAAACACAATTACAAAAAAAAACAACTATTTTCTAGTCACAGTAGACTTTATTAACAGTAGATTATGTATATACACAATATATAATTTATACAAAGTGAATTCAGACATTTCTTGTTGCATTTTTCTTGTTTCCAAATAAGACATTGACTAGATAGAAGCTTGTAGGCTGTACAACAGAACTACTAGGAGTCTATTTCCTTTTCTTATATTATAGTACAATTGTAATTTTTTTTTTAAAAAGAGCTTCTCTGGTGACAACACTAAATACTAAATATACTGTAATGTGTAACTAAAAAAAAACTTAGTGTAAATGAAGACAATATGTAATCAGCTTTTCAAAGTGAAGCTCAGCCCCCACAGCCATCTTCCGAGTTTAAAGAAAAAGAGTTTGTGCTCATCTTTGATCTGAAAGGAGGAAAAGCTTATTTATATATTTATTATTACTATTAAGTAGGCACAGCTGCGGTGGCTGTGTGGTAGATTGCTTGGGTTCAAATCCTGATTAAGATTGGGATTTTTCATTTTGGGCGACTCTTGAGTCAACCTAGTTCTAATGCCTAACATTTGCTGGATGGGGAAAAGTAAAGGTGGTAAGTCATTGTTAGTCATGACACCCTTGTTAACCGTGGGCCACAGAAAAATATTACCTTTATATCATCTTCCATGTAGATCGCAAGGTCCGAGAGGGCTGCATTGAAGTTCTTACATATTAAAGCGAATTTTATTTCAATGAAAAATCAAGTTGTTTTTTTTAAATGAAGCTTTAAATACAAAATCCAATTTTCCTAGCAGCAGATCACAACATGGGATGATTCGTATATCAGGACACTAACTCCCAGCATTGTTCTGTGTACAAGTCACAAGTATAGGAAATCACTTCACAACTATAAATAGAGTGAAACCTCTCTACAAACAATATCCCACAATCACACATCCCAATGACGCGAGTCAGCAGTGGGGACGCAAACTGGTCCTCAATAATTAAATGGACTAACCAGCGATTAGCTTTAAATTAATACATGTCATATATTACACATATTTACAATAAATACAATGTACAGTTGTTTGTCAAGGCAAAAAAAAAGAAAAATGTTTTGTACTGACAAGGGGAGTTAGGTTCCATTACCAAAAATTTTTTTTTGTATTGACAAGGGGAGTTAACTTCCTTTAACAAAAACATTTTTTGGATTGAGAAGGGGAGTTAACTTCCTTTACCAAAAGAAAAATGTTTTGTACTGACAAGGAGTTAACTTCCTTTACCAAAAAAAAAATTGCAGGTTGATTTTCTTTTTCAAAATACATTTTATGAGGAAACAAAATTAAATTTGTAATTATTTATATTCTCACAGCTTCGATGCTGTCTGACAAAACAAGTCGATTGACTACAAAATCAATTTTGAGAAAATGATTTTAAACGAGTCGATTGAAAATTGAGTCATACGTTTCAGATGCTCAGTCAAAAAAGAAAGTAATAAAGAGTTGGCCCAAACCTCCTGCAAGAAGGCTGGGAACAATAGCCGACAGGTTAAGACAATAGTCTAAAAAGCCTTTCACACAGCAAGGCAGCTATTTAATAATGATACGGCTAATCATGCACCATATAGACCCTTTAGGTCAAATTTAGGCTAAGAATCAGTTGAAAAAAAATAAACTAATGAGCAAAAACCAAAAAAAAAACATTTTATCTTCATAATATTGACCAAAAAAAAACAACCTACATTTTCAGTGACATAGGGCCAATAAAAGTGTCTTGTCTAGTACAGTCAGATATTCATTAGTTGACCCTAGACAACAAGGTCATGCAGCAAAGTAAATGTGTATGAGAACTTTACAACAAAACTTTTTGACTAAGTCTCAAACAAAACATGTCATTATGTATAAAATGGGATAACAAAAAAAAATCAAACTATCACAGTAGCTGTATATTATACAAATAAATTAATGGTTCACATACAGTCACAAAGACTTGGGCAAAGTACGGTAAGAGGTCACTGTATAAGAGTCCTAAAATACGCAGCATCTCACAAGGCTAGAATTCAATCCCTTAGCTTGATTCTGAATAATAATTTAATTTATAGAGCGCTGTTAAAAAACATGATGTAGGCTGAAGGGGAATATTAAAAACCCCAAACAAAAATAGCCAGAATATGATATTAACAGCATAATACAATTTTTTAAAACTAAATGTTTATACTACATACAAATCGTGTAACGTCTATAGCTCTCATGGAAACTTGAAAAGTGCATTCCAGCATTAAAAAAGATTGGTGCTTTAAAACATTTTATGCACAATCTTTTTAAAAAAAAATGTTTAAAATATGGATTAGGATTTCATTTACATTAACAGCATAAGATGTGAAACAGTCATGTAAATATTTTATTGTATTAGAGTTGATTACTTAAGCATAATTAAGAAGCATATATAATTTTTAAATTAAGAACCTTTCGATTCATTTTAAAAAAAAAAAAAACTTCCCTTGTCATTTGACTGACATACAAAAAGATTTGATTAAATAATAGCTTCAAGAAACAGTGCTCGTTGAATACCACAATATGTATAAATAACAAGTGTTCTTTTCAACCATGCAAAAGATTAATGATCTAATTTTAAAGATTTTTTATTTTTTTTTATTTTCAAGGAATTTTACAAAATGAACCGATTTAATTGTAAACAAAATAGCCTACATTTAAGTTTAAAAAGTGTTAGAATCAATATAATCCGTGATGAGACATACAAACTTGTAATTGATAGCAATAGCAAATTGGGCTTTTGATGAAGGAAAAACAAATCCATCAAATACAGCGTTTCCCAAACTATTCCCTTAACGGAACACTTCCCACATTCTGAGTATTTAGCGGAACACTTCGCTTATTTATTTTTTTTTTAGAGAGATTCATTCACGTGGTGCCCCAATATTTAAATATTCCAGTAGTTTATAGAACATCTATGAGGGTGTTAGCACGAGGCTCAGCGGAACACAGTTTGAGAAGCACTGATCTAAAAATATCGCAAGAAGAGCATGGCTTCATTAAAGGAAAAAAATGTATCAACCAGAGTACTTAAAAACTAAAATTGATGAAAGACTGTTTATAGCTTAAATGACAATAGCAAGGCTTTAACTTTGTTAAAATTAATGGTCTCTAAGCAAAGTTTGTTTTTTTTAAAGTTATTTAAATTCTTCATTAATACCATTGATATATTGCTAACATTTTAAATGCTTTATTTCTATTCATACTGCAGATGGTGATCTCTTTTTGGAACACACTGCGTTCTTAGTAATATTATTTTTTATTCAAAACCTTTAGAAATATATCTAAATAATTTCTAACTTAATACCAAATAGAAAGAATAAAAAAAAAACAATTAAAACAAAAAACCAAAAGTAAAAAAAAAAAAAAAGGATACATAATTCAAACAAATTATCAATCGCTCCGATCCGCTTCTTATTTTGGCTCAGATGATAGACAAAAGACAAACACAAATTTAGATTGCCAACAAGAATGTGACCAGCAAGAATTGAAAGTATTTTGATTTCTTGTATGTTTTATAACATCAATAACCTTTAAATGCATTTTATGTTTTTTAAACAAACAAAGATAATCTAAATAATAAACAGAAATATTACATTCAAATGTACAAACAAATTTTGTATTAATTTTGTGGCGGCAGTATTCAAAATATAAAAAAAAAGTTACCTCTCTTTGCTTAGGAGTGAGACATATTTCTAATTTGAAATTTAATGAGTGACTTTTAGGTAATTAGTTTGTTTTTTTTAACTTCAGTGGTTTTCTGTTTTCACGTCAATCCAACAAATGCTAAAACATAATGAAAGTAGTCGTTAATTACAAATAATAATACATGTTGATCAGCACTTCAGTCTTTTAAGCTCAAGAACATTGTTTATGGCTTACAAGCCCACCTAGTACCTGGCCAGCAAGGCCACCTTGCCTCTTTGAACAACAAATCTATTGTAAAGGTAATTTATATAGACACAAGGACATAACTCTTCTTTTTCACTCTTAAACAAGAGGACATCACTCTTATTGTCCCTGTTGTCTTTTTTTCTAAAATCATTGGTTACTTGTCTATGATTCCTTAATGAATCTTGACACAAAGTCCTTTGCAGACAAATAAACATTGAGATTTTTTGTAGTTTATATGCATTCAAAGCCATATTAACTGGGCATTCTTCTAAGGGCTTCAGCTCGCTTCCTTCCGTGGCGAACTGGATGCTTTTTCTTGTTTTTCTTGGACGTTTTTGAGATTTCGTTAGAGGTGTGCCGAGTTAAATTCTTGAGGGCGAGTCGTTCATTTTTTTTCATCTTTTTAACCTGCGCAATGGTGAAAAAAAACAACAAAAAAAAAGAAAATCATTACGAATTGTCACAAACATTTTTGACATAATAAATAGGATTTGCTTAAGTCATTGGTTCACTTTTTTTTTGCTTGTTCTATGTTCTTATCAATGAACATAGAAATTTCCAAAATAGAAATTCTCTATACATTTTGATTTTGATAGTGCTATCTGAAAGCTACTGTCGTACATAAGCTCCTTAATAGACCATACAATTAATTTTTTACCTAATAAAATTTTATCAATATGTTTTGAAATGTCAGAAATTTCAATTATAGATCAAAGATGAATTTTTAAAAAATGTTAATTTTGTTATGCTAGTCAAAGAAAAGAAACAAAAGATGCCTTGTTTATGATAAGGTAAAAAGTATTAAATCTTGAAAAAACAACAACAAAAGACATGTTTACAAGGAATAAGTCTGTTGACCTTGTTGCAAATGATTCTATCAAGTTCTGACTATACACTAACAGTAGTAGTGTTGTTATTGTAGCTTATTTAATATGTTTCATCATATTGTTATACACCTTTTTTTCTCTCAATGACTGTTGTACTGAAGGTCCACTATGATACGTTATGTGTCATGTTTATTCATCCTTTGTTTCAGCATTAACCCAATAGCTCCTATTTCCAGTAAAGAAAAACCATCCCAGGCCTTAAGCAAAGAGGGATGACCCTGAATTTTAAAAAATCCTAAAAATTAAATAATTTGAAAAAAATAATCACATTTAAGATCTAATACTAATAAATAAACAAACAACTTTAAAAAATAGAACGATATGTCTAGTTTAAAAAAATGTATATATTTTTAATACCATTAGAATATAAAAAAGCTTAAAAAAATACTCATTTTTCCAGGTGGGGGCTTAAGCACTTGTCGTTTGAAAAATTATTTAAATTAAGTAATAAAAATCTTCATGAGTTTGCTAGAAATACAATAAGTAATCTTCACAAGGATTTGTAATCATGCTTGCAATCAGACGAAGGAATCTTTTATTTCAAAAGTTTAAAGCAAGCATATTAAAAAGGGGATTTTAGAAACGTTCTACAACTGTTAAGAACATAAACCAGATAACGTTTCCGACTGCAGAAGAGACTAATGTGTTAAAGCAACAAATTCTACTTTTTAAATAAAAATATTTAGAAACTATGTAAAAGAAAATTATAACACAATAAAAATTTTAAAATGGTTAAAATCGAAGATAAAAATAGATCCGTCTTGCAGAAGTATCAAGCAAATGTTCGACTAACTAAAAGACTACAGCAGTGTTTCTCAAACTTTTTCCTTAACAGAACACTTTGCACAGTCTGAGTAAGCCTATGCAGCAGAACACTTTGCTAATTTATTAATTAATTCATGTGGTGGCCTGCTCTAGTTCATTATTCCAGCAATTTGTTAAACACCTACTCAAGCCTGTGTTTTGTGGAACAGAGTTTGGGAAACACTGGACTACAGTATTAGCCTAAAACAGAATTAGGTGATTAGAAGGTTTAGTAGTAGACTTTAAAAAAAAGAAGGGGCACAACTCAATTACAGGAATATTAATGATATATGAAATAAAAAATTGGTTAATTTTTTTAAGCAAAAAAGGATAAAATGAAGAAATACTAACCAAAATTATTTACTAATGCATTTAGAGGGGTCGTACATGGTGGTGCAATTTGGAAGCAGATGCAAAGCAGATAAGCAAGACGTGGAGACAGTTGGAGAGACTAGCTCAGAACCGAGATGCCTGGAGGAAGCTGGTTTGTGGCCTATGCCCCAGAAGGGACCACAGGCAGAGATGAGATGAATGAATTCATCCCCATTCACTTTCTTTATGTATGATTTTAAGAAATATTGTATTTCATATAGAAGTTAATGAAGGATGCCTGCCTGGTCATGTTATATATGCTATGAATGATGGTTAAAGTGAGTGTCATGTGGCCAGCACAATGACCAGCCGCAACTACTTTACCCAATTAATGTCAGGTACCCATTAAAGTTGGGTGGACTCAGGGGCATCCTAAAAATTTCAAAAATTAATAATCCCCAGGTTTCACCAAGATCGGTTGTAAGAATCTTTTTTTTTGTGACAAAACTTCAAAAATTGTTAAACTAACACACAAGCCAAAGTAATGGGTTATACAAAACTTAGAACAGACAAAGCAAAGGAACAATTCAAAACAAGTAATGGCACTCACATCTCTTGTTAGTGATTCAGTTAAACTTAAGAAAGGCTTTACTCTGGTACTGTAGTGGCTGGTGAATGCGTTCTTCTCCTCAATCGACAATGCCACCCAGTTGGCTCTGCGGAGGCGAAAATCTTTGTGGAATTCTCTTAACGTGGCCAGAAGTTCCCGGATTCTAACGCAGAGCTTGATTTCATTGTTGCCACACTAGAGACGTAAACAGATCTTTAGAACTACTTACATTTTGTTAATATTTATTGAATTTAGTTTGAGGAAATAAGTCTTTGCTAAGTCAATTTCTAATTAAAAGATACTAAAGAGTACCCCTTTAACAACGTCGCGATCTATGGCCAATGGTTAACAAGCTGGCCAGCACAACAACCAATCAACTTTACATCTTCGTTTAATTTTTAACTAATTTTCATAAAATGTCTAATTTTATTCAAAAATAAGAGCTTTGATTGTTTAAAATGTTTAAAGTATGTAGTATTGTCTTCCCCTTCTTTGTTTTAAAATAAAGAGTATTCTACATTTGTGATTTGTAGTGTTACATAATAATAATAATAATGATAATAATAAGGCTTGTCTTTAAGTACGGAGTTAAATAGGAATGACTGTTACATAAAATACTCTTAAATAATCTAAACTGGCAACTAAACTTTTCTGTTTCCTCAACCAACAAAAACAAAAAATGTATTTCAGAACATTTTTCTTTTTTTTTAAAGGAAAAACCAGCAAATAAAATGTTTAAATACTATTACAATGGTGCTACTAATATGGTAGAATGTTTCCTTACAAAATTCACATTCTTTTTAGCTTTATTGATAGCTTGACGAATCTGTATCTCCAGCATTGAAGTCTCTTCCCAGATCAAAGGATTAACACTACGCAGGGTGGCTTTGTCTGAAACATATTAAGAAGAATATAGAGAGCCAGAAATAAAGCAAAACATTTTACTTTTTTTTTTACAAAATCCCCTCCATTTATAAAGAAGTTATCTAGATATACAGGGGGCATAATGGCAGATGGGTAAAAACGTGGCATTAGTCTCTTGTTCAAATCTTGATAAAGACTGAGATTTAGAATTGCAGGACTCTAAGGATGCTCCTAAATCCCCCCAAATCTACTAGGTACCTGACATTTGTTGGAAAAAGTAAAGACTGTTGGTCATTGTGCTGGCCACACAATCAGACGTTGAAAAACATGTGCTTTATCTGCACTAGAGATCATAAGGTGTGATAGGAGTATTTTAATTTCTTACTTTTTAGATAAGAAAACTTTCTTTGACATTATCTTTAGAGTTTACCAAGTTCCTTTTCAGACCTTGTGGTCTATAGGGCAGATAATGTAAAGGTCATCCATTTCTTTGGCCTACCGTTTACAAGGGTGTCATGTGGCCAGTACAACGACCAACCGCCTTTACTTTTCCCCGACTAATATCAGGTACCCATTAGAGCTGGGTGGACTCAGAGGTGCCCAAAGATCCAGAAATTAAAAATCCCAGACTTCACCAGGATTCAAACCTGAGACCCCTGGTTTGGAAGCCAAGCGCTTTAGCCCTCAGCCACTGCGCCTCCAGAGTTTACCAAGGAAGACTTTAAAATGTCTTAGAAAAAACAACATCAAATGATTAACAATACATTTATATTTAATTGTTTACAAATATTTTTGTTTCATCTCAAGTTAACAGAAAGTCTGAAATATACAGAGGTTCTCAAGTGTACAGAAAGTCTGAAATATACAGAGGTTCTCAAGTGTATGGAGACTTAAAATCCCAATTTCAAAGTAAATGGGAGGTGTGGTGGCTGAGTGGTAAAGCGCTTGGCTTCCAAACTGAAAAGTTCTGGGTTGGAATCTAATTGAAGACTGGGAT